GGATCTCTCTCTCTCTCTTTTTTTTTTTTTTTCATTCTAAGATTGTCGAGGGAACGTTTGAAAGATGTAGAGGAAAGATTGTTGCGATATTGATTGTAAGAAGAAAAAATTGAATCCGGAACCATCTGTAAAAAAACAATTTTTATTATTTGTTTTTATAATTTGCAATCTGGAAATACGTCATTTTATTCGAAGATAGTTTCTAATATTATTCTTGAATTTGAAGACTCAAAATTGAGAAGAAATAATCGTGTGTATAAATTTTTGCATACTGAAATTTGTCCTATAATTTTTATAATTTTATTTTTTTTGAAAATTGATCGTTTGAAATATCATTATTAAATTGAATGATCAGAAAACATGCTCGCATAATCGGTTAATTAAAACAGAAATCACTGTTTTTGCTATGTGTTAAAGTAAAAAAAATAAAAATGAAAGACAAATTCCACTTAGAGGCAAATTTTCATTGCAGCGAACTAAAGTTTTAAGTTTTAAAATGTTAAAGTTTTACAGGCGCAGTCGGAAAAATTTCAAAATTCTCGGTTATTAATTCACCTCTATGGAATGTAAAGCGGCTCACCATCCATTACACAGACTTTTACATCTTCGATGGAATGGAGCGCAAAGTCGAAACGCGTACAAACGGTATAACATTCGGCTCGGTTTCCTGAATGCAAATGTATCCGTCGATGCCTTCTTTCGAAACATGAAACATAGCCAGTATCACGGACCAAGCGTGACGAAATGGTTTCTACGTGCCGATAAAAATTTATCTGACAAATGATTGTGGTTTATAAAAAGAATATCATCCATTTTTTTTTTCATAATTCATTTCATATTTTATTTTCTACTTTTCCCAAATTGGAAAATTTTGTAAAAATATCCCAGAGATTTCAATAGGAAAGAGATATTTTTAAACGAGTAAATTCTGAAATGAAAATATTTCGTGCAATGAAAATTTTGTATTTTATCTTTAAATGAAGATGTATAGTTGTAACAGGTTGGAATCATTATCCCTTAGAATCGATGGGAACAACGGAAATCCCGTAAAAAACTACGATTTACCTTTTTTCCCTCTTAGCTTCTCGGAAGAAAATTTGTAGTCTTCGCGTAGGTTCGATCAATACCTCGACCTCGATCTTGAACTTTAATTATACATCCTGTGTTTCAACTGCGTGGTTCATTGTTGCGAAATAATTTCAATTACCAATGCGCCACGTGCGCCAGAAAACATTGCGACCAGATGGTTTTATTATAATTTGGATGGGAACATTCCACTCTGAGTCAATGTCATTATTCGTTAATAAAACGGAAAGAATTTTTCGTTTAACGATTAAAATTTTCGTACTTACTAGATTCTTATCCTATCCTTAATTAGTAATACAAAACATTGATGATTATTAATTAATAATAAACGAGACCTTGATATTCTCGATACTCTCTTCAAGTACTATGAATCATTCCAGATTACTATAGATCCACACGAGCTTTCTCTAGATAAAGATAGTCAGTCTATAGATAGAAAAAAATAGAGTTAGTATCGATGTATATGAAATATCGTTCTTCGATCAAATTTTGCCTAATTGTTAATCATTCCATCAACTGAAATTAAGAGAAAATTTGTGAAAATTTATCGAATTTTAGATCAAAAAATTTTTAATTGCATCAAAAAAATTAAAAAAGAATATATATACGTATATAAAATCATAGAAAAATTACTTTCACACAAATGGAATTTCATATACACCAGTCTAATAAAAAAAAAAAAAAAAGGAAAACTATCCACCATAGTTTACTTAAAATTTTTAAACGCTCCATAAAAGAAACTTCGTGAAGTATAAAACAGTACTCGGCACAGTGTGTATAACCTTATCTCGCAACCCTTAACCTTTTTCCATTCAACTCGTTTGTCGATTGTGCTTAATATCAGGCAAAAGTGTTCTCCCTTTCGGACGAAAATGTCGTGCTCTAGGCCAAAATGTCGAGACAAGATGATTTCGCGTGTCTTCATAAATCACGGCTGACCGTCGAATGGCTGGAACAAACGAAGGGAACAACGGAAAAGGAATCGTGTTAACCTACATTGCGAGACGACTTCAACGTTCACTTGTTACTCGGGGGTGCCGTTCCGTGGGATATGCGTGTGTTAAAAATGCAACAGAGCCAAGCTCAACGTGTAAACACGACGTTACGATTGACAGTGATGTTGGCGATGTTGTTGGTGATGTTGGCTTGGCCTGTGTGTTCGATCATCGGTTACTAGAAGCGAAAGAATTATGTTATTACGTATGATTGACTGTCTTTAAATTGAAAGAATTTTTAAGATTTTATCAATGCAAAGGTGACCTTCAAATGACCTCTTACATGCATCAAATTCATTACTTTTTTTTTAGGTCATTGAGTTTTACAGATTATGGATGGTGGCAGTTTTTTTTTTTTGTTTTTTAAAGTCAGGTACTAGGTAGTGTCGTGACGAAAAATTAAAATAAAATACGTACGTCTGCACTTCAAACACTAGACATCCATCTATTTCGTCCAAATGCCATATCTGAAAGGATAGAAATATTTGAAAAATCACGATGAAATGAAAAATCGGGTGAAGAATTACTGTTTTACCTTTAATTATAAGTGGAATCCATTCCTTTCATTTGAATATCGAGAATGATCGTGATCAAATATGATACGTATTATTTCGTATTATTAAACACGAATAAAAATAAAAATATTCATCCATTTCCATTGAAATAATTTCCTCTTCGATTCAAACTTGCGATTATTTTAAAAAAACGCGCGAGTTTCAAAAATTCAAAAAGCCCCCCTATTCTGAACATGATAGTTCATCTGCACAACTCGTGGAAACTTTTGGTACTAGACGGGTCAATTTGTATGAATTGTACGTGTATACACGAGTTTGTGTCAGGTCACCAGAGTTAATTATCCCGAATTGTATGGCGTTTATAGGTTTCCTTCAGCGGTAACCGAGCGTCTGGCGCATACACGCCCCTGGTGGTTTCCGGGAACAGCCCTCCGCGTGGCGAACCAATCTCCCTGGCTACCTTGGACCGCGACTGTTTCATCATTCCCCTCGCATCTCTCGAACGTTTTTTACCTGCGGGAGTACCGGTATGTTAAGAAAA